CTCTTTAGCCACTAGGGCAGGGGCTCTCCCGGGGCTGTGGGTGTGTGGCGGAGGGGCTTAGGCCTCAAATCTCAGCCGCTTGTTTGTGTTTGGGACGGGCCGATGCCAGCTCTGTCACTTGCACACCTACAGGCCCTGCCTGATCACGGCTTGCCCCCTGCGAGGGTGTGTCCCCCGCGAGGGTGTGCTGGGCTGGCCTTCAGGTGGCTTCCTTGCCCTGAGAGCATTCGGGCCCCATGGGGCTGAGGCCGGGTGGCTCTTACCGTGGCTCTTGGGTGAGCTGTTTAGCTTTCTTCTCGGAAGACTGGGCACGGCCATTCCCTGGGAGGAGAAAACGTCGCGCTGTGGCTGACTGCAGAGCTGGGAACACGCGAGCCGGCCCGTGCAGGGTCTGCTGATGCCAGAGGCTCACGGCCGCCCTCCCTTGGTCCCACGTGTCCATCTGCCGCGGGAGCTCCCTGGATCTTCCCGACACACTTCCACATGAACCCGCGTCTCTGCCTCCAGCCTTGGGAGCTGCAAGCCCTCCATCTATGCCCCCCAGGGCTCCCCCTCCGTGGCTCCCCGCTCCTGGTGTCAGCCTTTCCCCTGCCCAGTCTAGAGCTGGGGGTCACACGCACCTGGACCTCAGCAGTAGGGTCCTCCTCGGGACTCTTGCCAGACTTCCCCACAACTCGAGGGAGAAATACCTACAGGACGAGGACGAGGCCTTTACTGATGACCGCACTGTTTAACCTCTGGCCGCGTGGGCAGCGGGGTGGGCGGCTGGGGCCGAGGACCCTTCTACACTGCCCACCAGGTCAGCATAGGGTCAGCCCTCCACACCCCGCAGATGCCACTGGCTGCCGGAGTGGGCCAGTCCAAGTGTCAGGCTGGAATTCATGGAAGTCATGGATGATAGTTTAGTGCACGTGTATCCCCAAAGTTGCATGGCTGTACTCTGACTAGAAAATTATTTGTCCACCCGAAATTCGGACTGAACTGGCACCCTGCCGTTTACCTGGAGACTCGACCTGGGGCTCCCGCGAGAGCATCTTTCACTCCCTCTCACAGCCCCTCACCAGCGCGGGTCCCTCTGAAGGCTGGCGATTACTAAACCAAGCCTGGCAGCTCGGGAAGGGAGTCTCAGCCCCTGGTGTGCACCGGGGGTGTCAGAGGGCATAGACTCACTCAGGGCCCCTGGGCCCCCACTCACCGGGAGGTGTGACCTTCGCCGGGGCTTCCCTGAGGGCTTCACTGTGAGCCCTGCCGCCCTCAGGGCTGCGATCCTGGACTCGATGTCTGACACCTGAAGCAGACAGACAGACAGACGGACAGATGGACAATGCCACCGGGATGGCCCACCTCGAGGTCGAGGAGCAGAAAGAGCAGCTGCCCGTCCCCCCATAGAGCCCATTTTCCTGCCGTCCCCTCAGACTGGCATCCCTGCTACACATACGTCCCTCTCCCACCTGCTCCCGTCTTCCCTGCCTGTTGGGAGGGACAGGGGCTCCCTGAGGTCGTCCCCAGCCAGAGAGAGGGGCCTGTCAGATCTGGCTCCCACCGGGGATCAAAGGAGGGGCAGTGCAGAGAAAAGCGTGTGCTGGGGACCTCAGGGGGCTGCTTCTTACTGCACCCCCACCACTGGCCCCATCCTGGCCCTGCTCCCCCTCCTCCAGGTTCTTTCCTCGCACTGTAGCCAGGGAAGCTTCTGGAAACAGAAAGCATGCCCATTAGCTCTGTCCAGACCCCTCCAGTGCCACCCCCCTGTTCTCTGACCCCTCGTGTCCCTGGCCACCCACCCTCTTCCCAAACCTGCCTCCCACACTCCCCTCATTGAGTCCTGCTCTCAGACTTTCACTGCGGTCCCTGGGCGCCAAGCCCGGTCCCGCCCAGGGGCCTGTGCACACGCCGCCCGCCCTGGACTCCTGTGCCTGGATGTGCAGCGCCGGCCTCTTCTCCCATCTCCCCGTCACTACCTAAGAGGCCTGGCCCCGGGCACGCTGGGGGCGGTCCTTGCTTACTGCCTTCCTGGCGCTTCTTGTGAACGGAACGATCTCCTCCGCTGTCTGTCCATCCCACGGGAAATGTGAGTGCCCTGAAGGCAGGGGCGTCCCCCGCGTCTCACTGTCCCCCACGTCTCAGTGTAACCCCAGTGTCTCCCGCATCTCACTGTCACCCCGGCGTCCCCCGCGCCTCACTGTAACCCCGGCGTCCCCCACGCCTCACTGTAACCCCGGCGTCCTCCACTGTAACCCCGGCGTCCCCCACCCCTCACTGTAACCCCGG